CTAACGTTTCTTTATTCAATGCGCATGTACAATGTAACGTATTTCCTTTATCTGATGCGTAAGACTTTATTTCGACGTGACTACAAAGTAACGTTTATTCGATCGTAAGACTTTATTTCACAACAATGATATAACAGTGATGTCTTTATGATAATTATGCTGTACCATATGATTGCCTATTTTGGCAGCATGTGACTACTTTTTTGTTTACTCTGGATATATTTGGACCTACTTGCTACACTGGCCATGTTACCCAATCATACTGACAGTATTAATCATGTGACTACCCTTCGCCATCACTGACTCATTACATCCATATGTCTCCTTTTACCTAACACAGTGGTACAATCAACATCCCACTCAAACAAAGAGTATGCCATCAATTCGGGGAGAATTTCAATATTTGCTTTGTAAGTGTTTTGGTAATGAGGATAAGTGGAATCTAGTTTAGACACTATTTTGTTGAGAATGCCTTGGCAATCAGCTTGATTATTTTGGCACTCTTGCAGAAAATAACAAAGCCCATCTTGGTTGAAAATTTTTTGATCAAAGTCTGCACCACCAGTCTTCTTAGAAATGCCATAAATTGACATTTGGAATATCATGACCTCAAGAAAGTGTCCGACAACACCAGTAAGTTCAATAACATGTTTCAGATATGGTGAGATGTCCCTGATCCTAATTGCAACAAAGCTAATGTTAAATAATAGTAGGCCATTATAATCTTCAGCATACTATTACAATTAAAACTAACCTTTCACTCTCATGCTGTCCATTTACAAAAGAAGAAAACTGTCACATAAATCAACATTACAATGGAAAATCTCAATATTGATATTTTTAACTTACCTTCCCTCGATTGGCAAGATCAAGGATCACATCCTCAGCATGCTTAACATTGAGTAGTGGCAAATCTATTGCTTGTGTGTAAACACCAGATGACTCAACTAATCTGTATAGTTCCACTGCATGTGTTCCACTTAACACTGGAAAAACAAACTGATGTGCCAGAATGATAACATTCACAAGAGTATTGAGAATTTCTTTGAAAAATTTTTCTTTTGCACTATCTCTAGTTTCAAAAATTGCATTGGTTTCATCAATGTTTATAATAAAGAGGGGATTTTCTGATATCATTGGATCATTGCAAGGAAAGTATTCAAGAATTAAAGTGAGAATGTCTGTAAGAGGCAATGAGACTTTCCCTATTTCCTTGCAGAATCTCACATAGTTGTCAATTCTATAGAAATATAGTATCAATTAAGTTACAATAATAGATGGAAATCAAATCATGCAAGACCTTACCCATTTAGTCGATATTTTAAAGCCTCATAAAGTAATCTCCTTCCAAAAACATGCTCATGATTTTCAGAATACTCATCAAGGAAAAATTCTCGGCATGAGACTCGAAAAGAACGACCTGCTTTAGTACATTCCTCTATATGTTTAATAATGCTCTCCTTTGTACACGTAATTAAGACATCTGTCCTTTCATAAGCACGCTGGGCAAATGTTGTCTTGCCTTTTCCTGCTGTTCCTGTGACTGCAGAGAATCGTAAATACTTCCTTGGTTCCTGATATCTCTTGGGATTTTTAGCAACTTCATACAAATTTTCCATGTTTTCAATCAACTTTTTGATTTCATTTTCACGACTCACAAACTTTAAGTAAGGAGAAATGTCAGAAACATTGTTGAGGGGAGCACAAAGATCTGGAATGGAGGCATGCATTGGTACTGAATCAACATCAACATCAACATATTGATCAAGAATTTTCTTGATACCCTCTAACTCTTGGAGTGAACCTGTCTGAGATGCTGTGAAAATCAAAGGATAACATCCATGAGTATTCAGTCTGAATATATGCATTAATATATCTCAGGTCGGGCTACAATGATATGGTTCAGATCAGGCTTTGCACAAGTTGTCCATCAAGTACTGCAAACTGACAGTCTTCACTAACAACCAAAAAAGGAAACCCATGGTCCTTAATGGTCACTCTTCTGAGATGCTACACTTTGCTCTATGTCCCCAAAACGTTCCCTCATAGAAACCATTTGCATATTTTAGGAACACAGCCCAGCATCATGAACAAAAAGCTATATTGTAACGTTTTCCCAATACAACCCATATTACTATGCTACTTTACCCTATGTACACACTACTTTGTCTCAAACACTCGAGTCACAAAGTCGTTACCTGGCTGAGCGGCTGCCAGCATGTCTTGGAGCTTTTGCACTTGCAATGTCCACTTTTCCACCTTCTGCATCCAGAACGCCACTTTACTCTCGTCCCTAGCCTCGTTAAGCTGCTTATTCGCTGCCTCCAACTGTTTCTCTGCGGACTTCAACGCCTCGTTGGTTACCATTTTGTTTGTGAGTTTTTAACAGAAGATGTCCTGCGCGATGTAATCTAATATACTAACGGATCAGTGGCTTAATCAATGACGTATTATTAGAACTTTCTAGATTTTTTCACAACGTACAGTCCTTCGATATGATAAAGTCGACACATAAATCTTCTGTTGCTCCTGGCAAATCTTATAGTATAATAATAAATAACTCAAACGTTATTTCTACCGATGAATCTAATACTGCTGAACGATTTGGCAAGTGTCATGCCGTTCAATTATGTAGCAACCTCTTGATTCGGGTATAATTATTAAAGCCATTCAAAAAACGAAGAATCAAAAAGGAAACAAGAAAGACGTAACACTAACTAAACGACTGTACTTATTATTTGGTTCAATGCTTAGTAAATTGTTGAATGTTTTCTCGTATTTACTAATCATGCGATACTTAATGTACATATCCAAATAGCTTTTTTAAACGACATATTCTGGACACCGGACAACTTCTTCATATTTAAATCTCATTTTTGCATTTTGCGATCTACGTTCAATCGACTGCTTAGTATCCTACAGCAACATCCTAACTATTTATCCACACTCTTTCGAGTTGGCATTGTGATTCAACGATTAGCAAATCCTCTAGGATATCGCCAACTAGAACAAATTTCGGTGATCAGTCACATATTTTACTAAACGATTTATTGAAGCCATTCTGGACACCCTCCAATATTATTATCATCATTTGTATCAATAAAACCCGCATACGTTGTGGGTGTTTGTATAATAAAGGATCCAAGGTTTTTTTGCTTCTTAGGCATTGTAATGAATATGAAAAAATTTTTCTTGACTCAAGTTAATAAATAATGTATGTTCTACCCATATGCTGTTCTCGTCACATTTGATCTGGCAAAGTTTGAATTATGTTTATATGAAAAATAAACAATTTCCAATTTAGGAATGCCCCCATCAAATAAATCCCATATTATCATCGATTTCCAAATTTGATCGGGGCATCAAGCTGTTGAGTCTATTTTGATCTAACCGCACGATGAGTTGCATTGAAAATTATTGGTACAAGCTTTAGACTGTGAATATAATCAATGTTGATCTAACCGCGTATGTTGATTTGCATTGAAATTATTGGTGTAATTTTTAACATTACGGCTAGGCAGTAAATATTGAAATAGTCTATTTGACGATGATTAGATATTTGTCTAACTAATATAAAACGAAGACTAAAACTTTATGACATTTGAACCCGTTATTTAACATATTTCGATGGTTGAAAGACATTTGCTTCTATACTAACGATGATAAAAACATCAACCAAGTTATCATACGAATTAGATTGTCATAAAGAAAATGTATGCGGAGGGATAAAATATAGTAAGTAGCTTGGAAATCGCCAACATATGATATCTTACGTTCTTATTTGTAATGATACATTAGACAAAAGTCTCCGGACAGTTTTGTATAATAATTGGGCATAAAATTTTAGTTTAAGTCTGAT